ATTTATTTATTTGAAAGGTAGAGTTACAGAGAGAGAGAAAGAGAGACAGAGAGAAAGGTCTTCCACCCACTAGTTTACCTTCCAAATGGCTGCAATGGCCAGGCTGAAGACATGAGCCAGGAACTTCTTCTGAGTCATCCACATGGGTGCAAGCGCCCATGGACCTGGGCCATCTTCACTGCTCTCCCAGGACCATTAGCAGAGCTCTGGATTGAAAGTGGAGCAGCCAGGACTCGAACTGGCACCAATATGGGGTGCCAGTTCTGCAGGCCACAGTTTAACCCACTGAGCTATAGCACATCATAAAGTCAGGTAATGTGAATCTTGCAACTTTACTCTTCTTCAAGATTGCCTTGAATACTTATAATCCTTTATGTTTCCATGTTAAAATTAACTTATTGAATTATACTTAAAAAAACTGCTTCTGGAGATTTTGATTGGGATTGTTTTGAATCTACAAACCAAGGGGAGAACAATCTAACAAAAGAGTCTTCCAAACCATGCACAGAATATCTTTCGCCATTTAATGTCTCCCAGAATTTTTGTGTAGCTTCTATATATAAGTCTTGGACATTTTTAAAGTTTATATCTAAATATTTTATGCTTTTAATATAATTGTAAAAGTACTGCTTTTCAAAAATTTTCCAATTCTTTGATACTTCTACATAAAATATACAGTGAATCTTTGAATATTGACTTTGTATCCTGATAAATTGCCTTCTTGGGTCTAATAGTTATTTTATAGAATCCTTAAAAACTTTCTGTCTCAACAATCATTTCATCTGTGAATGGAAACAGATTTATCTTTTCCTTTCTGATTGTTAAGACTTATAGCTTTTTCTTGTTTTATGACACTGGCTAGAACCTCCATCCAGTATGAAAAGGAATAACAGTATGAGGACATACTTGTTTTATTCTGATTTAAGGGAATCACATTAAATATTTCACTATTAATTATAATGTTAGTATTTTATAAATGCCCTCTGTCAGACTTCATAAGCTTCCTTCTACTCCTAATTTGCTATAAGATTTTTTTAATTACAAGTAGGTACTAAACTTTGTCAATGATTTTTCTGCATCCATTGAAATTATTACTATGGTTTTTCTCCCTTATTTTGTTAATACAATGAATTACATTGATTTTCAAATGTAAAAGCAAGCTTTCATTTCTGGGACAACACAACTTATTTATGATATATTGTCGTTTTAAATACTACTGAATTTGATTTGCTAGTATATTGTTCAAGATTTTTATGTCCTTCTTTGTGAGGGATACTAGTCTATAATTTTCTTTTTCTTCTATAATGTCTTTGTTGGTTTTAGCATCATCACTATATTGACTTCATGAAGCAAGGTGGGAACTGACCTCTCTTCCTCTATTTTGTGAATGAGTTTCTGTTAAAAAAAAAAAAAAAGTGTTTTTTTTTCTCCTTAAATATTTGATAAAGTTTACAAGTGAAACCATCTGAGTCTAGCATCCTTTTTTTTTTTATTTTAAGATTTATTTATTTATTTAAAAGGCAAACTTATAGAGAGAAGGGAAAAGACAGAGATCTTCCATCTGCTGGTTCACTCCCCAGATGGGCATAACGGCTAAGGTTGGACCAGGCTGAAGCCAGGAGCTCCATGCGGGTCTCCCACACAGGTTGCAGAGGACCATGGACTTGAGCAATCCACCACCTTCTCAGGCCATTAGCAAGGAGCTCGATCAGAAGTGGAGAGCAGCTGGGACTCAAACTATCATCCATATAGGATATCAGTGTTGCAGGTGGAGGCTTTTACCTGCTATACCACAACATTGGTCCCAGCCTACAGTTCTTTAAGGGATAGGAGTTTTTGATGATAAATTGATTTATTTACTAGACTATACAAATAGATTTTCCATTCCATCTTGTATCAGTTTGAGTACACTTCTTTTTTTCAAATAAATGAATACATTTTTGAATGAATCCACATTGACAAATTTATTGGCATAAAGTTGCTTGCAATATTTCCTTATATCCTTTAATGTATATAGAATCTGTATTAACATACCTACTTTTTTTTTTTTTTTTTTTTTTTTTTGACAGGCAGAGTGGACAGTGAGAGAGAGAGACAGAGAGAGAGAAAGGTCTTTCTTTTTGCCGTTGGTTCACCCTCCAATGGCCGCCGCGGCCGGCGCAGCATGCTGATCCAAAGGCAGGAGCCAGGTGCTTCTCCTGGTCTCCCATGGGGTGCAGGGCCCAAGCACTTGGGCCATCCTCCACTGCATTCCCGGGCCACAGCAGAGAGCTGGCCTGGAAGAGGGGCAACCGGGACAGAATCCAGCACCCCGACCGGGACTAGAACCCGGTGTGCCGGCACCGCAAGGCAGAGGATTAGCCTGGTGAGCCGCGGTGCCAACATACCTACTTTCAATCCTAAAATGGTATTTTGTGATCTCTCTTTTTTCTTGATCAGTTAAGCTCAATCTTAATTAATTTTGCTGATATTTTTGAAGAACTGTTTTTGTATTTTAATTCTGCTTTCTATTATTAATTTATACTCCTACTTTTTATCATTTCCTTCATTTCTAGTTATTGGGCTGGTTTTTCTCATCTTTTCCCAACTTCTAAAGGTAGACTCTTAAGTGACTAATTTATTTTTCTCTTTTCTAATATATAAACTTCTCCCAAAAAAAGCAGTGCTTCAGCCACAACACACATGTTAATGCATTCTGTTTTCATTATTGTTCAGTATGATGTTTTAAAACATCTTTTTATTTTGAAATAAATACAAGTTTACAGAAAAGTTACATAAACTATATAAAGAACTCTTATTTACCATTCACTCACATTCCCCAAACATTAACATTTTACTATCTTTGCTCTATCATCCTTCTCCTCTCTTTTTTTTTTCCTGAACTATCTCTGAGCAAGTAGACAAACTGATGCCCCATCACTCCAAAATATATTAGCATGTTTGTCACTAAAATCAACAATTCAAAGATAAACATTTTCAAAACCATTTCCAGTGAAGCTTCAGACTCCATTTCTGTTGCAGCAACTGTCCCAGTGATGTCCCTTGCAACCAAAGGAACCAGTCCATAACTGCACATTTCATTTAGTTGCTATATCTCTTGCAAACCCTTTAATGTAAAACAGTTACTCAGTCTTTCTTTGAGACCTTGACACTGTGAGTAATGTGCCTGCTTTAGTTCAACCTCCTGGCCCATCAGGCAGCTGTTTTTTTACATTTTGTGTGAGTTTATGGTTGTTCTCTATTGACGGTTAGTCTGATAGGAACTATTCAACCATTACTAGAAATGGGGTAGAGCTGGCGCCGTGGCTCACTAGGCTAATCCTCCACCTTGCGGCGCCGGCACACCGGGTTCTAGTCCCGGTCGGGGCGCCGGATTCTGTCCCGGTTGCCCCTCTTCCAGGCCAGCTCTCTGCTATGGCCAGGGAGTGCAGTGGAGGATGGCCCAGGTGCTTGGGCCCTGCACCCCATGGGAGACCAGGAAAAAGCACCTGGATCCTGGCTCCTGCCATCGGATCAGCGCGGTGCGCCGGCTGCAGCGGCGGCCATTGGAGGGTGAACCAACGGCAAGGGAAGACCTTTCTCTCTCTGTCTCTCTCTCTCACTGTCCACTCTGCCTATCAAAAAAAAAAAAAAAAAAAAGAAATGGGGTAAAGACGGGATTCAGTAAAATCAGAGATGAAAAAGGAGATATAATAATAGATACCACAGAAACAAAAAGAATCATCAGGAATTACTACAAACAGCTATATGTCTGACAACAAACTTGGAAAATTCAGAAGAAATGGATAGATTCCTGACACATACAATCTACTAAAATTAAATCATAAAGACATGCAAGGCATGGAAAAGCTAAACAGCCAATAACCAAGACAGAGATTAGATCAGTAATAAATTATGCATGCAGACATATGAAACAAGACCTGTACCTTACACCTTATACAAAAATCAACAACATGGGCAGGAGGGAAAGTAGGATGGGAAGTATCACTATGCTCCTAGACCTTTATCTGTGAAATACACGAGATTTGGTCACATTAAAAATAAATAAATAAAATAGGGGGCTGGTGCTGTGGCAAAGTAGGTTAATCCTATGCCTGCGGTGCCAGTTCTAGTCCTGGCTGTTCCTCTTCTGATCCAGCTCTCTGCTATGGCCTGGGAAAGCAGTGGAAGATGGCACAAGTGCTAGGGTCCCTGCACCCACGTAGGAGACCTGGAAGAAGCTCCTGGCTCTGGCTTTGGGTTGGCTCAGCTCCAGCCATGGTGGCCATCTGGGGAGTTAAACAGCAGATGGAGGGGCTGGTGCTGTGGCATAGCAGGTAAAGCTGCTGCCTGCAGTGCCAGCATTCCACATGGGTGCCAGTTTCAGTCCTGGCTGCTCCACTCTTATCCAGCTCTCTGCTTTGGCCTGGAAAAGCAGTGAAAAGATGGCCCAAGTCCTTGGGCCCCTGCACCCACATGGGAGACCTGGAAGAAGCTCCTGGCTCCTGGCTTTGGATTGGTGGAGCTCTGGCCATTGCAGCCAACTGGGGAGTGAACCAGCAGGTGGAAGACCTCTCTCTCTCTCTCTCCGTCTCTTCTCTCTCTGTGTAAATCTGACTTTCACATAAATAAATAAACCTTCAAAAAAAAAAAAAAAAAAGAGGGGGCGGCACTGTGGCGCAGTGGGTTAACGCCCTGGCCTGAAGCACCAGCATCCCATATGGGTCCCGGTTCGAGACCCGGCTGTTCCACTTCCTGTCCAACTCTCTGCTATGGCCCGGGATAGCAGTAGAAGATGGCCCAAGTCCTTGGGCCCCTGCACCCATGTGGGAGACCCAGAAGAAGCTCCTGGCTCCTGGCTTTGGAATGGCACAGCTCCGGCCATTGCAGCCATCTGGGGAGTGAACCATAGGATGGAACACCTCTCTCTCTCTCTCTCTCTCTCTCTCTCTCTGCTCTCCTCTCTCTGTGTAACTCCTTTCGAAATAAATAAATAAATCTTAAAAAAAAGATAGGATTCAGGGACTGGCACTGTGGTGCAGCAGGTAAACCCTCTGCCTGCAACACCAGCTTCCATTTGGGCACCAGTTCGTATCCCAGCTGCTCCACTTCTGATCCAGCTCCCTGCTAATGGCCTGGGAAAGCAGCAGAAGATTGTCCAAGTGCTTGGACCCCTGCATCCACATTCTGTCTCTCTCATATTCATTCATTCTCTCTCTCTCTCTCTCTCTCTCTCTCTCTCTATCTCTCCTCCCCCACCCCCTTTTTCTGTAGCTCTGACTTTCAGGTAAAGAAAGAAATCTTTATAAAAGAAAAAAAAAATGATGGGATTCAATCCTCTTCTGACCACAGATCCCACCTAGTAGAGCTGCCTCTCTTCTGGCATGGGTTTTCACATCACAAAATAGGAACAGTTCTATTATGCAGCCTTATAACATTTCATAAAACTTCCAAGTATCCATTTTATTATTATAATGAAGATCATATCATATACAGTTAAGAGATCTAATAGTAAGAAAGTTACAAAATGGATAGGAAAAATCCCTTGCTTAACATTCAAAGAATTATCTAACAAGCAGAGTCTCTCTGTTCTATGCTTGGCACTCCAGTGATGGGAAAACTAAAGGAAACTTTGGCTGAGAATCAGAAGATGTAAGTTTCCAATCCTGGTTCTACTGCTCCAAAAATGGCTTTAGAGAACTCATTTTATTCACGCAATAATATTTACTCAGCTCCTAGTAGTATATTTAACTTCTTTGTGCCTCAGTTATCTGAGAAATGCACATAGTACTATCCATCTTTTCTATTGCCTCAAAGGCAGTAAAAAAAAAACAAATGATGTAATAGTGTGTGTTTAAGTGTGCTGAAAGCTGAAAGCACCACACAAGTGCAATAATACATCTGGAAAAATCAACCTGATATTCAGAAACCCTGTTAGAATGTAAGAGACAAAGAAAAAATATGGAATGGAACCATCTATACTTTATCTATATTTCCACTGTATGATACAATAGCTGCTAGCCACATACGGTTATTGTATTGAAATTTGAAGTAACTTAAATTAAATAGAATTTAAAACAGCATCCTCAGCCACACGAGCCATGTTTCAAGTACTCAGCAGCCACATGTGGGGATCAGCAACTGTACAGGCCTGACAGGCCATTTCCATCATCATAGGAAAAGTTCTACTGAACAGCATTTATCCCTACTGTTCTAGGCTATGTATTTTCTTAATTGCCTGATTGTAACATTATTCCTGTAGAATTAATACACAACGGCTAGCCTAACACCATAAAACAAAACAAAACGAAATCTCAAATCTGAAAAGAAATCAGTCTCCAGGTAGCTAACCAAGCTAGAACGGCACTGGCCTTAGAACCTTGGAAGAAACTGCTATGATTTCTCTTTAACCAGACTAGGAACGCTGAGGCCCAGGAAAGCAAAGGCTCTGGTCCCATGTTCCTTAGAGAGAATTCGCAATGAAATCCTGGTATTCAATAACATAGGCTTGACAGCAGGATCTGGGTTCTACAGCAACTCTGTCGCTTACTAGCCGTATGAACTTGGACAAGTGACCACCTCCAAGTCTCACTCTTCTCATCTGCAAACTGAAGAATAATAATCCCAACTCTGCTGAGCCTCCATGAGGATGGAAGAAACGGTGTTTAGAAAATGCTTAGCAGAGAGCCTGGCAAGCACCCAGACTTGGTGAACGCTACCTGCTGTCATCATTAGTTAACACATTGCTCTTTCCACTGCACCACAAACTTTGCTCACGGAGGTTGCAGCTACCAGATGTATCATCATGGAGCTGGTGAGCATAGGAAGGAACAGGGAAAATATGCAGCTTGGCAAATGTGCCAGGGGACAAAATGATAAATGCATAGTGCAGCAGTAACTACGGAACTGCTCCCACAAGTCCCCATGCAGAAATTTCACCTTGAAAGGTGCAAAGGGAAATGTACCATTCGCGTGCCTCTGTACTCTTACCCTTAAATAGGTGTCTGAGGAACGGAGCAATGCACACTGAAAAATACACTTACACTTCTACGACCCTCGCGCTGAGACTATTGGAGGAGTCAGCATTCTGTTTTTGTTTCTCTCAACGCAGAACTAATACATCACAACTCTGTTAGCAACCAACATGGCTATCCCATGACAGGCCTCTGCAAGCCTGCTTCCAAGTGGGTAGAGTTGAAGCCTCCAGGGCTTCTCCAAGTGCCTGCTGTGGGACCCAGCCTCTCACTCCCTGCTGCACAGGGTATGATATTCAAAATGCAGAAGACGCAGTGCTCATTCTGCAGCATCGTGTACTCTTCTCTGGAAGAACACCACACACGAGACAATCAGATGTTGCAAAACAATCAAATACTAATAAGTGAGTCAAACTCTGAGGAAGATTTCCATTCAATTCGATATCAAATCTCAATCCTTTGCTTTTTGATCGTTACTGTAGTGAGGCGCAGCCCCAGTTAAGATATGGCACCTATCTTCAAGCAGCTTCTACTTGAAAGGGCAACTGAAGTTGTCCAGGAAGTCAACTGAACAAGCTCTAATCTAAGCCTGTGGAGTGGCACAATTCGGATTGGCAGGGGAAGGAGCTGGGGTTGGGATACTCCAAAACTCAACCTTGCTGCCACTGCGAATGGAAACAGAAGCCCGAGAAAGAACAATGAGGAACTAAAATATCTTTTCTCCAGTCTTCAGAGGTACTCTTTTCCATCCCAGCTCTGACGTGACAGTTTCTGCAGAAGGCAGGCCTCTCGGGTGGCTCTGCTTACCTCTCCAGTCCGTGCCAGGCACCAATGACAGGAAGAATGAACTAGCACAAGCTCTTTCTCTTTTTGGCATCATCCTGATTTCTAGGGGGCAGGGCTTGGGTGAGAAATATTTCCCAGTCACCTCTTTGTCCTCCATCCTGGAAAACAACCATCAAGTCACTTGCATGTCGTCTAGTCCACCACGTGGCCACTGTGTTAGCTTTGCTATTTCTTAACTTTGTCCTTAGACAAGTTACTTCCCCAAGTCTTTGTTCCCTCCTCTACAAAGCAGGGATAAAATAGTATCCTGCTTCATAGGAATGGTGTTCAGAATCAAAGGCAATGTTTATAAAGCCCTTAGCACAATGCATGGTACACAGTCAATGCTGAACAAATAGGAACCATAATTATTATTTCTAAAAAATTCTATGGTTCCCAATCAAGTCTTTTTTTTTTTTTTTACAGGCAGAGTGGACAGTGAGAGAGAGAGAGAGAGAGAAAGGTCTTCCTTTTCACCCCCCAATGGCTGCTGGGGCCGGCACACCATGCTGATCCGAAGCCAGGAACCAGGTGCTTCTCCTGGTCTTCTATGTGGGTGCAGGGACCAAGGATTTGGGCCATGCTCCACTGCCTTCCCGGGCCACAGCAGAGAGCTGGACTGGAAGAGGAGCAACCAGGACAGAATCCGGCACCCCAACTGGGACTAGAATCCGGTGTGCCGTCGCCGCAGGCTGAGGACTAGCCTATTGAGCCGCGGCACCGGCCCCAACCAAGTCTTTCTAACCTAACCTCACTGCTGAAACCCAAGCCTGCCAATCCCAATCCCAGGCTTATTGCCTCAGAATTATCCCATTCCCATAGAACCTTCTAGAGCCTAAACGTTTTATCTTCTCAGCTACAAAACTCACACAGCTTTCACTCCTGTCCTCTAAGAAACTCTCCCAAAGACATAAGAGACCTGGCCAACAATGCTTTTGCCTGACACTGCCTCTATATCTCTCTGTTCACAAGTCCAATAACACCTCATTTAGAATGCCTTAAGACTCTGTGTCTTCCCTGTCATGTTCCAAGCCCAAGTTCCTTATGTAATGAATGTACCTTGAATATTCAACAAGTACCACTGGATAAAGAACTCCAGATCTATGATAAATGACAATGATTTCCAAAAAGCTACAGGAAATGAAAGTTTCCTGAAAACCCACAGAAGAGAGGCTAGTGCTGTGGCACAATAGGTTAATCCTCCGCCTATGGTGCCAGCATCCCATATGGGTATGGGTGCCAGTTCTAGTCCCAGCTGTTCCTCTTCCAATCCAGCTCTCTGTTATGGCATGGGAAAGCAGTGGAAGGAAGATGGTCCAAGTGCTTGGGCCCCTGCACCCACGTGGGAGACCTGGAAGACGCTCCTGGCTCCTGGCTTCAGAACGGTCCAGTTCCAGCTGTTGCACCCATTTGGGGAGTGAACCAGTGGATGGAAGACCTTTCTCTTTGTCTCTCTGTCTCACTGTAACTCTACCTCTCAAAAAATAAAATCTATTTAAAAATAAAATAAAATGGCTAAAATGGTAAGTTTTAAAAAAAACTCACAGAAGAAATCTACTTACACATATACATTTGTTTATTGTCTCCTAGTTTGTAAAATGCTTTCATATTCATGACACCATTTTGACAACTTGGAGAGAGAAACCTAATAAGGATTGTATCTACAAGGCTACTTCAAAAAGTTCATGGCAAAGTGGAATTAAGAGATAATTGTACATTTTCCACAAATTTTTACAGTACTTCTATATTTGACAAGTGCAAAATCTGAAGCTCAGAGAAGTAAAACAACTTGCCCAAGGATGAAGCCACAGTATAGAACCTCTTAACTCTTTCCAGCTTTGCCCCTGTTTTTTGCGCCCTCATGCATACTGTACCTTCAAATGAAGGGAATGCTCCACGTTATTCATAAGAAAACCACAGGGTTGGCACGGTGGCTTAGCAGGTTAAGCCACTGTTTGCAGGGCTGGCATCCCATGTGGGCATCAGTTCAAGAGTCAGCTGCTCTATTTCTGATCCAGCACTCTGCTAATGTGCCTGGGAAAGCAGCAGAGGAGACCTGGAAAAAGCTCCTGTTCCTGGCTTTGGCCTGTTCCAGCCTCGCTGTGGCGGCCATTTGGGGAGAGAAGCAGCAGATGGAAGAGTTCTCTGTCTCTCTAACTCTGACTTTCAAATAAATAAATCTTAAAAAAAAAAAAAAAAATAAAGAAAGAAAGAAACCACAAGGGAAGGAAAAATCACAGGGAAGGTACTCAAGAGTGACTGAAGCACACATTGTTCAGTACCCATGAGCTCCCTTCCCCAGGCAGCGGGGTTCCCTGAGGACACAGGAGAGGGTGCCTGTGAGAATCACAAGGGGCCCTCTGGCACTGCTGCCTCCTGCTTTGCTTTCTTCTGAGTCCAGAGGTTTCACAAGTGATTGTGGTAGTAACTGCTCTTTTTCCTAAGATATCTCTGATTCCTTCCATTTTTTTTTACCCATGGCCAGTCACTCCCAATCTTAGATTTAAAAAAAGAACTCTCTTCCCAACAGCAATCTACAGATGCAGGAGGTGACTACTACCACCAGCAGTGGCCCCATACAAAGAATCCCTGCATTGGGGCCAGCGCTGTGGCGCATCGGGTTGAAGTCCTGGCCTGAAGCGCCGGCATCCCATATGGGTGTTGGTTCTAGTCCCGGTTGCTCCTCTTCCCATCCAGCTCTCTGTTATGGCCTGGGATGGTGGTAGAGGATAGCCCTAGTTCTTGGGCCCCAGAACCCACATGGGAGACCCAGAAAAAGCTCCTAGCTCCTGGTTTCAGATCGGCGCAGCTCCGGCCTTTGCAGCTATCTGGGGAGTGTATCAGCAGATGGAGGACCTCTCTCTCTGTCTCTACCTCTCTCTGTAACTCTTTCAAATAAATAAAATTTTAAAAATCTTTAAAAAAAAGAATCCCAGCATCACACACAGGAATTATGTAACTATATAAAGGGTAGATTCTCCCTTCTAGTTATAGTTCAGTGGTCGCTCTCTCCAAGACCCAGATCTTAGAGTACGGAAGCCTGTACCCCAAGGGAATAACCTGGTTTTGCTTCCCTGGAAGTGACAAGAGCAATGTTTTCTCTTTATCTCCCTCAAGGGACACTTATTAGGCAAGGCCCCAATGACTCAGTACATTTCAGGCAAAGAAGAGACTACAACCAGATGGGAATAATGCTTGGAAAGAAGGGTGACTACAGAGCTGGCTCTTCAAGGCAGCCATCCAACTTAAAGTACCTAAAAATGCCTGGCAAACAGAGGCTCAAGTCAGGCCAGTGCCAACAACAAAAAGGTCCCATTGATCGGAAAACCTCCAAGCAGGAAGCTCTAAGCAGCAGCAACTCTGAATCAAGCAGATGGCATTAGACTTGGGAATCAGCTAATCAGAACAAGGTCCCAGTGGCCAAATATCCAAGACAGACACTCCAACTCCCCAGCAGTGGGATCTGCAAAATCCAGACCCTGCTCAGGGCAGGATTTTTATACAAATGAAACCAGCAGAGAGAAAGGAAAAGAGAGCCCAGGGTTCAACCTAACTCACAGCCAGGATGCCAAAAGCCCAAGAAATTCCAGACCTGAACTTTCAACAGTATAAAAAACAAGGGAGCTAAAGGGAGGGTAAAAAAGAGCTTAGGGACAGCAGCTCAACAGAGCCATGAAATGTGGATAAGGACATCAAGCAAAGAAAAACCCAACAGAGTAGAAAAGAAGAGGCATGACTGTCCGGCTGGATAGCAGAAATAACAGGATGAATAAACATCATCCTAGTTATCTGTTGGTGAGTGGGTAGGCATTTTCCAAGCAGCCAAGGGCGAAGAGATGAATCAGCATGTGCAAAGATGCATCGTTTCAAATAACATGATCCTTGCACTGGTTCAGCATGGATGAATTGCAGAATAGAGAGAGATTGGTAGAAGGTGATACTGGATATTTTGACAAGAGCTGGATCAAAAGGAGCTTCTTATGATAAGGCAGAGATGTGGGACTAAATCCAGGATAGGATGCCTTTAAAAACTAAAGGTAGGACCAGTACTGTAGTACAGTGGGTGTGGCCACTGCCTGAGGTACCAGTATCCCATATGGGCACTGGTTCGAGTCCTGGCTGCTCTACTTCTGATCTAGCTCCCTGCTCATGTACCCAGGAAAGCAGCAGAAAATGGCCCAAGTGCTTGGGCCCCCGCATCTACTTGAGAGAGCCAGAGGAAGCCACTGGCTCCCAGCTTCAGATGGACCCAGCTCTGGCCATTGTAGCCATTTGAGGAGTGAACCAGTGGATGAAAGACATCTCCCTCTCTCCCTCCCTCCCTCCCTCCCTCCCTCCGTCCCTCCCTCTCTCCCTCTCTCTCTCTCCCTCTTCCTCCCTCTCTCTCTCTTTTTCTCTCTCTCTTTTTCTCCCTCTCTCTCTCTAGCTCTGCCTTTCAAATAAATAAATCTTAAAAAAAAAAAAATAGGGGCCAGCGCTGTGGCACAGTGGGTTAACACCCTGGCCTGAAGGGCTGGCATCCCATATGGGTGCCAGTTCAAGACCCAGCTGCTCCACTTCCTGTCCAGCTCTCTGCTATGGCCTGGGAAAGCAGTGGAAGATGGCCCAAGTCCTTGGGCCCCTGAACCCACGTGGGAGACCCAGAAGAAGCTCCTGGCTCCTGGCTTTGGATCAGCACAGCTCCAGCCGTTGCGGCCATCTGGGGAGTGAACCATCGAATGAAAGACCTCTCTCTCTCTGCCTCTCCTCTCTCTGTGTAACTCTGACTTTCAAATAAATAAATAAATCTTTAAAAAAAAAAAAACTAAATTTGTTGCACACCTGTTGTGTGCTGGGCACGAAAGACAATGAGGAGGCAGTGGTGAACAAGGCCAACAACAATCCTGGAGCGTATGCTCTTTGCATACTGGCTGTAAAGATCATAGGTCATGTTTCTCCCACTCCTTGAGAGCAGAGGCCTGGTCTTATTCTAGACAGTTTCCTAAAAGGTTGTCTAATTTCTATCCTTATAGTTGATGTCCAGTAAGTGTTTATTGTGGGAATAAATTTTTCTGTATTTTCTAAGAAATTAAAAAAAAAAAAAAACATAAAGAGCATAGCATGATCAGATTTATACTTT